TTTAAAAAGTTAAAATCAATTGAGATCTTCATTTCACAAACATCCTATATTAAAAAAAAACCTCCCTTTTTATGATATTATAGTCCCTGTTCAGGATGGAGTCGGGGAAACTGGATGGAACTGTTTGTACAAAGACCACGTTTATGAAATAAAGTAAACCTAGAAGTTGATTGCTACATTTGCTTAGGATGCCTGCATTATGAATAAATCCCTTACTAATTTCTTGTTAAACACTTATGGGAAAAGTCATATAGAATATGGATGAGAAGGTTGACATAAACTCTTTCCCTCCCAAATACGGCAAAAATGGGGAAAGGGTAGGTAGGCAAAAACAGACAAAGGAACAGGGCCAAGCCAAGGCTGATTGACAGATAATAAAACAGCAACTGGTTACCTTTGGAATTTGAGAGAATGTTGCAGATATTTTGACAAAAATGAGTGTTCGAAAGGAAGTGAATTTTCCTATTTAAAGATCTGGTTCAGCTTTTCTCAATCAGCATATTCTACATAACCCATAAATCATAGTCAGTAACATCTCCAAAGGCCAATAGAGTTCAAGGACACTAACAAGGAAAACATCACATTTCAGTAATGTGTCTTTGTTCAATATGACTTTGTATTACCCCACATTTTTCCCTGTTGTTGAAGATCCAATGGAACTCATATCTCTGCAAATACCTAACAGAGCTTTTGCAGGTATCTTGGAAGAATATCATTCTCCAATGTTACTATCTTTTTATGTTTCTCAATTTCTGACCCTATCATTAATTTTTCACACAACCACAATGTTGCCTGCACTCCCATCTTAATATGTTGAATGTGAGAGCTGAGCCTTCTTTCAGTATTACAAAGTCAATTATCACTCACTGAGCTTGGTTTTCTAATGCTCAGTAACAAGCCACTGACTTGCCTATAAGATGGCAATAATTTTCCTCATGCAACTAACTCATCATTAGACATAGAGTGCAAGAAGATGGTATTCATAGCCTGTATGTAGAACTAAATATGATAGGTTGCTTGATCACAAAGTTTCAAAATTATGACAAATTTATTCTTGCTCTATGGATGTTCAGTGCAAAGCTGGAGGTATTTGGCATAGCTGAGGTCTAGTACTGAAGAAATTTGGTATTATAAAATTATTCCTATCATAATTCAAATTATGATAGATTAGACAGTCTGGAGCTCAGTACTCTGCTATGCCTCTGAGCAAATCTTGTGTGGTGAAACTACACAGGAGCCTTGTGTGTGGAAAATACTTCACAAAGAGCTTAAACTGAAGCAGAGATCAGCATATTTTAAAATCCCAGGGCTCAGCTATAATATACCACTGAGGACATACAAGACCTTAAAACTGAGTAATCATAAAAGCAGTCAAATTTCTCACTCAGCCACATACTAGGTTTGATATCCAGACCCACACCCCAATACCTCTGATTTAACAAATTAAACATAGGCTGTTAACTGAAAAGTAGAGTAATACCAATTACTGATTGTAGGAAGGTTTAGAAGATTTCATACAGAAGACAGACTTTGGAACAATGCATATCTACTTTCAAGGAATATCTTCATTCTAAGTTAGCATACTGTACATTAGCTATTATTGTGAAGTGTAGCAGCAAAAGTTTCCTTTTTAATAATATTTTTATTTACAGTTACTAACCATTCTGAAGTGGAATATATAAGTACAACAAAAGCAAAATAGAAAATTTTGAATAATAAAATAAAATATAATGTAACTGAATCAATAAACGGAAAGAGGAAAATATTAACCAGATAAAATATTATAAAAAATCTATACATAGATTCAAAAGGGTATATTTTCTAATCTGAACAAAATATCTAAATTGAAGTCAGGATGAACAAGTTTTAATATTTTATCATAGTAGACAGCTCAGTAGCATTCAATATACACTAAAAGATAAGTTCAAATCTAAAAAAGCTAAAAACCAAATATATTGATATATTTAGACCAGACATGTCAAACTTGCGATGTCACGTGACATTGCGCAACTTATCGGAGTTTTTTTGCTATTGCCAGCAATGGAATGGCCGTGGCTCTGCTGTGCCAAGGTGGCGCAGCAGTTAGAGTGCAGTACTGCAGGCCACTTTAGCTGACTGTGTTCAGCAGGTCAGCGGTTCAAATCTCACCGGCTCAAGGTTGACTCAGCCTTCCATCCTTCCGAGGTAGGTAAAATGAGGACCCAGATTGTTGGGGGCAATGTAAATATATATATATACATTGCTTACTGGTGTACACCGCTTAGAGAGTGTTTGCACTTAAAGCGGTATATAAGTCTCATAAATAAATAAATAAATGATGAAACCAGCCCATGGGCTGGCAGTTTGACACCCCTGATTTAGACGAAGAATTTTTTAAAAAAGTAAAATAGACCACAGAATCACATTTTGTTATCTTTAAAAGATCTTAAATAGTTCATTATGCAGACCTATAATGAACTGTTATAGGAAATAGTTCATTATAGGAAAGAACACTACACTCTGCCATTTTTATACATTAGAAAATAGGCTTTTATTGGAAAGTTGTTTTATAAATTGACATTTAAACCATAATTTTGTAGACCATACAAATTCTGTTCATTTAATCAATGTACTGGCATAAGGTAATCATACAAATATAAAAATCATTTTGGACTCTGCTATTTTGCTTTAAAATCAAAAAAAGCTCAGTAATTTATCCTGGAAATTAATGAAGGAAATGTACACTTGCCAATAAGTCAATAGATGTTCTTTCCAAATACATACCACTATTTTTATATATAAAATTAAAACATTTGTTTTAAAAAGCCAGAGACAATGGGATCAAAGCAATAAGAACCAGATGTAATAGTTTCTAGCTTTCAAGGAAATTGGCAAATGTGATCAGTGTTGACTAATTCCCCATAGGCTCCAGTGGAACAAAATCAGCAGGTTTCCTTAAAGATAGAATTCCACAAATGGAACACCACAGCAAGGAAGTCCTATTTCTAGTCATCTTAATTTGGATGATGACTGTACTCAGTTGTGTTCCATATGTAGATCTCAAATTATAGAGCTAAGATGTCTATCTTTTGCCTTTCTGTCCCAAAATACCTTGGATAAATAAATTAATATATTCCAGTATAAAAGCAATAGAGCACAAAACAGCAGCATAATCATAAAAAAGAAGAAAAAGCTATGAAACAACAGTCAAAAATATTGTGACAGCATATTAAAATTCAAAAACTGGGGAGACCAAATACAATCAGCAACAACAAAAAAAACCTGTGTGACTTATTTGGAAGGCAGGAGGATGGAAAGTGAAGACACCTGAAGACTGGAATTTTAAGAACCATGCAATTATTCCTTAAGAGAGCTTGATCTTGGATTTTCTAGGACTTTCAAAACAGTATGGTTATTTAGTTATTAAAAATCTATAGAACTTATATGCCACTGGTTCCAACAATATTAATATAGGACCAGTATATTTCTAACTATTCTTTGTGGAGGACTCAAGTGTATGTATTAAAGCATATTTAAATTCTGGAAGACTGGTTAGATGCCAGAAATGTAAATATACATTGTCTTAAGTGAAAAGTCATACTTACTAAAAATATATATCCACCCATAATTGCTGTAGCATGAAACCTTTTTTCTGTCCTTTTCTTATATCACAGAATACGATATTATGCCATGTTCTTGAACACTATGTTTTGAAATTGTATGGTGTGGTTTGGAAGCCATATCAGTATGCACTATGCAAAATCTATCTGCAAAGATTACTAGCATGGACACAAGAACTAGTTACCAAGACTTTGAAACTGTAATAACTTCTCAACTAATTACTTGATTGCCCAGAGACAGTACTCTTGAAATTCCATAGAAACCGTCCAAAGTTTAGGATTGCATTGCCATGGAAATGAAAACATTATTATTTTTCCCAGTTGTCAGAAATATTGAATCTGAAGGGGAAAAAAATAAAACCAAGAGAGGAAATTCTGAGAAAATGAAATAAATGGGAAAGGCGTTTATTTCAGTTCTCTGTTCCCACCCTTAAAGCAGAGAAAGAAAGGAAGGAAGGAAGGAAGGAAGGAAGGAAGGAAGGAAGGAAGGAAGGAAGGAAGGAAGGAAGGAAGGAAAAAGAAAGAAAGAAAGAAAGAAAGAAAGAAAGAAAGAAAGAAAGAAAGAAAGAAAGAAATCTCTAGCTTTTAAAGCACGGGTGTCAAACTCGATTGTGCCATGTGATGTATCATAATATTTTTTGCTTTTGTGGAGATAGGGTGGGTGTGGCCTGTACATGACGCATCCAGCCCATGGGTCACCAGTTTGACACCCCGTTTTAAAGTGTGAAAAAGTGATAAGAATTGGGGAACATATGGGTTGAGAAAAATAATCCCTAAAAGATTTAGATGCTTGTTTATGATTTTCCAAACAGGTGGAGTGGATTAAACTTAGATTATATAAGGCAATATGATAATTAATCATAGGCCAATGAAAAGGGGAATATACTCATATCAGAGACATTTAGTGAGGGGTACCAATTTCTATATTAATTTCTAATTATTTCAATTATTTATGAGAATCCTCTGAACAAAGATAGGAACGTTCGAGTGCTTGGTTTAACTAAAAGTTATATATAGAGTTAAAGGAGTAGCCAGCATATAAATATGGGTAAATAAATGAAATATATGTTTACAGTTCTAAAGATGGATGTCTTCAGATTATGGTAAAAAAATGACAAGATGGCAGCCTCAATATTGCAGTCAAAGCTGTGCTTGTTTTTTATGTGAAATAAACACATTACAAAGGGAGATGCAGTGGCGCAGAGGCTAACTGTCGTTGGAATTGCCGGCCAGAAATGATTTACACTTTGACTGTTCTGGCCCAGCTCTGTGAGGTAGAGTGAGCTCCCATTGCTTGATCCCTAGCGCTGCCCACCCAGCAGTTCAAAAGCATGCAATATTGCAAGTAAATAAATGGGTACCAGTTTAGTGGAAAAAATCTAGTTGTGTTTGTGTGCGCAGGGAGCGGAAACCAGTGCTGGACCTGGCCAGACATGAGGCATCGCGACACAAGGCAAGGCAAGATTGGCAGAGGTGCCCAGAACAACCAACAACCCAAGCACTTCTACTCAGTTGGTGTAAAACTAGTTCACCCCCCATGGGGCACCAAAGATAGGTGCATAAGCACTGAATGGAAAGAACTAGCATTCTAGGCTGTCAGGACTGTTATGTATCTAACATGTGTATGACACTGTATGCCATATGCTAAATAAATAAATAAATGCACATTACAAAATGGGTGGAGGTTTGATTACAACATCTATCTTGAACTTTTCACAATAACTTCTAAATATCTCTGTCTATTGAATAGCTAGGAAAGACATACTGGAGCTAGCATAGGCTTTGGCCATCAGAGACCATAGTATCGAACACATTTCAAGAGAGGAAGCCTCCTTCAGAGTCAGCGAGGACAATACTACCTGATCCCCAAAGTAATTTTGCTATTGTTTCTCTGAACAAAATGCTTAAGTCAATCTTAAAAAGGAAATTCAAGTTTATTTATTCACCATATTTATATAGTTGCTCATCTTGCAAAACATTACTTGACATACAATAAAAAGCAAACCTTAAAATAAGCAATATTTTAAAAAATCCTTAATTCAAAATATATAATATCAGTGTTTTCTATTAACAGATTAACAGAGAGGATTTGATGTTATAGTCTAAGTAAAAAAGGACTAGGGGTGATATGATATTAGTGTTCCAATATTTGAGGGACTTCCATAAAGAAGAGGGATCAACCTATTTTCCAAAGCACCAGAAGGAAGGCAAGGCAAGAAGCAATGAATGGAAACTAATCAAGGAGAGAAGCAACCTAAAACTAAAGAGAAATTTCCTGATAGTGAGAACAATTAACCAATTGCCTTCAGAAGTTGTGGGTTCTTTTAAAAAGAGACTGGACAGCCACTTGTCTGAAATGTCATAGAGTCTCCTCCCTGAGCAGGGGTTGGTCTATTCCAACTTTGTTATTTTATTATTCTTTCTTTCCCCAGAACTAACAAGTAGATGGGTATATATGTTATGTCAAAATCTTCCAGCTGCAATCAAAACTGCAAACAAACAACCAAAAGCCAAGTTTCGATGAGCTCTGATTAGCAAGATTTATTAGGAAAAAGTGTTTAAAGAAGCATCACAAGAATTCTGATAAGTAGCTTTATTTTCAAATATGGACATTATATATAGGCAATTCAAAATTCTGATGTTCTTGTTCTCTTGCTCCTGCACCTTCAATGCAGGGGTGAAGAATCTTTTGAGAAGGCAGGCCTGCCTGCGCTTGGATATTACTTGTACACACACTACTAATCTCTTTAGCAGTGTGAGAATTCACTTTTGAACATATTGTCTCTATGTGATTCTGCTATCCCTTTATATTACCTCTCCAGGTTAGAAGTACCGGTATATGTTCACTAGGAAAATATAGGCTTTGCTTTGGGACTCATGACTGGGTGGGAGACTTAGCATGGGACAGTTGGCAGTCAAACTTATGCCTAACTGGGCCTCTAAAGAGATACATTGGGAGATTGAGTGTTTGTAGCAGTAGTCCCACAATCTATGGTTAGATTCAGGCATTTTTTTACTCAATTTTCATCTGTCCCGTGTCAAATTTTCTCCCACTGTGTTCTAGCTATGCAGAATTATTCTGCTGGCAAACAGACAGCAAATAAACAGAGTCCAAGCTGCTTTACATAATACCTATCCAACTTTCCATTGGGTTGGAAAAAATAAGAATAACTATGGAGCTTAATCAAGTATTAACCTTTGCCTCATAAATCAAATCAATGAGAATGAGGAACCTGTGAAAAGCATGAGGTGTGTTATCTGCATCTGGAACTGAGCCTGGGAAAGATAAAAATCTGCCCATTTTCTGGGGAAAAAAATTGACTGCTAAATGTGGCGACTTTTCTTTTAGTTTCAGCCTGACACACATGTATTAAATCTCTTTTCTTTTGCCATTAAAATAGTGATTCATAGTAAAAAATTATCTAGCATCTGGAACTGCAAAGTGGGAAAAATATTCAGGCAAAGGAAACATTCCTGTTAATATTAATCATTCTGTTAAAGACACTACAATCCCAAGCTAATGGTTTTCATCTTATATACTGTGATGAGGGATCAAAAAGTCTCAGCTTTCTACCCCAAACAGTTAAATAAGTATTTTTTTCAATTCTGACAGCTTTAAGATGTGTGGACTTCAACTCCAAGAATGCTGACTGGGGAATTCTGAGTTGGAATCCACACATCTTAAAGTTGCCAAGGTCGAAAAACACTGAGTTAAACCTTCTGCGTGTTAGCCTGGGGAAGTCACGTGCATATGGAAGATGGTTTCTGATGCAATGTATCACAAATCAATATAACCTATGGTAACTTTCTAGTGGGCATACTACAGGCAACAATTTCACCCTTCCCCCTTACTTTTGGTGTATGGGTGCAACAATGAACTAGAGAACAAGTCTGAGGACATTTTTTTAGGCTTCAGCCTTTTCAGATAGTGGGCCAAGATATAATCATGCAGTTTGAGCCCCAAAATGAAGCAATGTTTCAAATGAAGTTCACAATGAAGTTACATAGAAAATTTCATCTGATAGCCATGAAGTACAATTAAGATTGTACTCTTAAGCAGAATATTGCAAGAGATGTCAGATGAGAAAATTTAAATATCACAAGATTGAATGAACTTGTAATATTTCAGCTTTTTAAAAATTACGTATCTTTTTTTGTGTTGCCTATGCTCCCAGTTATGCTACCTCTGCCACCACCCATTTATCCATGGGTATAATGAAGTTACACAGAAAATTCAAAGCATGTACCGATAGTTTATGTCCCCACCTGGGCCAGATGTCTTGTTTCTGTCAGAAATATTTCAGGCAACTCATTGGCATTTGATCACATGTAGGGTGACACTTCAATGAAGGGGACAGGCTTTGGTGAGCTGCCTAGCAACATCTGACAGGCTGTTATCTAGTCTGCAGGCTAGAAGATCACCACTGCTGTTTTCAGTCCTCAAATGTGTTTTGGGAGGATGAACACTAAGTGATCGTTTGTTACATTAACTAGATGGATAAGCATGGAGAGCATGGTACTTCTGAGTATCAGAAGCTGGCTGTTCCTGGAAGCTGGAACATAGACTCCTAGTCTCCTTTAGCAAAGTAATTCTTAGGGATTGATTTCACAATCAAAATATGTGCAGTATGTAGGATAACACAGGAAGGAATAGGCAACAAGAATACAAGTGTGCATCAAGGAATGTCAGACAAAATTGCACCAAAAGTCAACAGGAATATCCTGTTCGAACCATGTTATGCATGACAATATTTAAAAATAAATAGTAATGTGCCTGATTTTTCAAGGGGTGTGTCTGAAGGGTGGATAATTACTTGACTCTATAATTATAATTAACTACTACTTATGAGATACACAGGGGTTAGACAGTTGGGATTTGCAATTGACAGGAAAAGATGGATTTAGTGCAAGGTTAAAAGTTGGCAATGCCAACTTTTCAATATGTTCATTCCAAATGACCTAGTTTGCATTACTGAATGAAATCATAGTCAGGATACACAATATCCTGACTAGGATACACAATATCTAAAATTCATATTGAATCAAATCTGCAATCTGCTATCAATTCTTCAGAATATCTAATACCAGTAGATAGTTTGTAGAGACATGCATATAAACTCCAAATTTAAATATAATTTAAATCATATTTTAAAAATTCCAGTGCTTTTTTTTCTTCCAACACATAGCGATTGCTGCTGTCACAATATTTCACACAAGTGTAAATAGGAGGTGACAGTATTTCTCAATTAACATGCAATCTTAATTAGGAAAATATTTCACATCTCGAGTTACAGAAGAGTGATTTGAATAATGGCAGAAAGCCTTATTCATAAGTGAAGAAAACTAAACATCTCCCCCTGATATTTTCCTGTCCCCTATTCTCTCCAGCAACCATCCTCACCTCACTTTACGTCTCCTATCACAGTGCATAGAAGATGAATGACCTCATGTGCCATGATTTAGGAATGAACACTCTGTCCACATTCTTGGACATGGGATTGGAATGTCAGCACTTAGCCTGATGCCAGAAGCCACATTCCTGTATGGTATTGCTCCCAAAAATGCTATGATTCCTTTGGAGAAAATGTAGGAGTACTGTTTATATTGGGGTGAAGGAGCCCAGTAAAATCCCGCTGGAGATCAATTACTGTGGTTGTTTTTGAACTGAAATCTCTGAAGAGTATTGGGGATTTACAACATATAATCAGGAAAAGATCTGTTGGAATTCTTGCCTTCAAAAATGCATTGTTCCCGCTCCCTCCACCCCCTGTTCTGCCTATGTTCCAGGCCTTAAGGACATTTTATCTGAATGCTAGAATTTTCTCTGTATCAGACATGGTCAAATACTTCAGAAAAAAAAGTTGATGAGCAAATCAAACTACTAAACAGCAAGAGGGAGTTTAGGAAAGGGAAGAATTGAACAGTTATGTAAAAAATGAAACAAGCAAACTGAACCAAACTGATTTCCCATACAAGATGAAGAGATAATGTGACATACATTGTTTTTAATGTCCTCCAAGCCACCTCCCCCTCCATACTGTGATTAATGTTCAAGTTTTAATGTGGAATCTAAGAACACCTCAACAGTTGTGAAGCCTGTTAAGGTGAACAAGTGTCAGGGTTGTATGCATTTTCTGAAAACTGGAAATTCCCCAAAACATCTCCAAAAACTAATGCTAAATGCAATTTTGAATGTGACAGAAGAGAAAATTATTAAATAAATATTAAATGTGGTAATAATAACACTTCAAAACCAATAGAAGTCCTTGACAAAGCAGTTTGTACACTCAAGAGTCCAGTAGTTCCTTTTCCAACTAACACAATTTATTAACAAGCATACACTTTCATAATCTTTTTAATGAAATGTTCAAGTCTGAAAAGGTGCTACCAGATTCCTGATATTTTGCCATCATGGACTAACATAGCTCTCCTCCCACTGGACCTTCCCTAATCAAAGATCATGTATTCATTTACTAGGAGCTGGATGAAACCTTAGCTACATGTAGTAATTAATGAAGAGTTTTATCTTCCTTGAATTTGGCTAGTGCATCTTTGACCTTAATTATCCTACTGAAATGTACCTTGTCCTATACCAATGGTCAGCTATAAATTGTATGAAAAAAT